TTTATACTTAAATGTATTTTATTAATACTTTACAAATATCATTCAATTGTCTTCTTACATCTAGTACGTTGTTTAGAAATCTGAATTCAGTATTATAATTGCTACTTTGTATGTGATTCTCTTTCTGGAAACTTAAAATTTTCTCTTTGTAGTGTTCCTTTATTTAAATAAGGAATAAAATGTGTGCATTCTTTATTACACTGAAAAACTCTGACCACTAATAATCATGTTTTTGGGTTAATCCAATTGAGTTAAGAATATTAACAATAATTTGCATACAACAAATACTTTCCTAAATACAATAGATGAATTCTTTTATATGTACTTTTTAAACATATTATATATTTATGATTCAGAAGTAACCTTGAACCTTTTAATCATTAAAAATATACAAAACAGTTACAAGTGGAAAGAATACTGACAAAGTGCCCTGTGTTTTTATCTCAGAGACATATCATAGAAATCTCAGGTTAAGAAAACTTCAAAAAATGTTGTTTTGTATATTAAGAATGCGTTTTGGAAAAAACTAAAAAAGAAAAAAGAAAAAAAAGAAAAAGAATGCATTTGGGAGAATGGAGAGAATAATAGCTTTCCCTTTGGCTTAAAACAGTCAGGAGTCTGAAGTCACTGAACTTAGAAGACAGCAGCTCCTGATGGAGTCAGAATTCTCAGGCAGGGAATCCAGCATGGTGGGGGAGCATACTTGTTTCTTCACTCAACCCCTTCACAATGCTAAGCTCAGGTTCTCAGTTTAAAAAAGGCTTCTGGGGTCCTACTTCAGAAGGGTAATCATTTGATAGTATTATCAACTTTTTCATCTTATTAACTGCAATGAATGATAAGTTGTGAAATCCTTTTCCATTTTAAAACATAACCAACAAAGCAGCACGCACCATTGGGAGTCTGAGGGTAACAGGTATACCCTACCAGTCTGTGAGCCCTATAAACCGGAAACACGGGGGAAGGGGCGGGTGTGGAGCAGCCTGGAGTTCAACTGTCAGTGGCCCCATGGAGTTGATTGTAGTCACTTTTCTGCCATTAATTATAATCATAGCGGTACCCTTTTCCCAAGCATTGTAACCTCATTGGAGGCGTTCCATCAACACTTTATGCCTGTAAACATGTTTGGGGCACAATATGTTGTTCTCCAGGAGTGGGGTGGAAAGTTGCAGGCAGGTGGCAAGAACAGCACACACACTCTCCCTTGTTTTTCAGGAACTTGGGCTTGCCCAGCATAAAACTGAAGCTGAATCCAACCCTCTGCGTCTGCAGGGAGACTCTGCCCATGGACCACACACCACCTGACACCAGAAGCCCCTTGTGGTAATTTCACTGCCTCCATCTTCCCAGCCCTGTGGCTGCAGTTCTGATCCAGGAAGCAAACATAGCATCCGCGTGGAAGCTGTCATGACAACAACGTCCATTCCCTCAAGGAGAGCAGTAGATCCTTCAAGAGAGGGCAGCCCCTCCTCAGGGGGAGCAGTGACTTCAGAAGGATCAGAACTTTCCAGAGTCAATTCCCCCTTTTCCATATTTGATTTTCTTTGTGATTTTGTCAGGATCTTGGCCTCCTTTGCTGTGACAAGAATGTCCTTTTAATTAGGGTAAGCATATCCACAGAGTCTCTTATATGCTTCCAGTTTCAAGCCTTTGGTGCCCAGTTTTAATTGTTGGCACCAGGCCCTCATGATGTCTCCATGAAGCAGGTTGACAGGTGGTCATTTAGAGGGTAATTGAGGAATAGGTATCTTCTTCCGAAATGTTTCTCTTTTATTGTTTTGTACCATCTTTTGTGGACAAGAAGCTTTGTTATCTTTCACAGATCTTTTTTGTTTGGTACCCTTCCCTGAGGTTCTTTGTGTACTTGGTTCACCAGCAGCCTGCTGTTCCTCTTTAGCTTCTACTAACAAAGGTTAGAATTTGCCAGGCATATTTTTTTTATTTTTTCCCCGACTTCTTTGTGGAATTCCACTTCGTGCCTTTGGCATTCTCCATGCTCAGAAGTCGAGGTTGATTTAAAAAAAAATCTCCTTACTTCTGTGTCTGTGGTGTTTTAAATTCCACTATAATGTGTTTAGAGATTCATTTTCTTAGTACTTTTTTGTTTGTTTGGAACTTCACAGGCTCCTTCATTCTGAAGTTGTTTATTACTATGTTTCTGGAGAACCTATCATCATTACTTCTCAAAATATTTCCTTCCCTCTGCTTTCTCTGTCTTTTTCTGTGACTCTTATTTTCTAGATGTGGACACTTTTATTTATATCCTCTATCTCTCTTACCTTTTCCCTTGCTAGTCCATGTTTTTATTCTTCACTGCTGCCTTTAAGTGACACTACATGATATTCTGGCTCACTAATTCATTCTTTACCTGTATTCCTTCCACTGTTTATATCAGCTAACAAATTATTGACTTCAACTGTTATGTTTTCATAACTAATATTTCCACTTTTTTCTTTTTATGCTTCATATTCTTAACATCTTCCCTAATATCCTTGAGTATATTCATCAGGCTTATTTTAAATTCTAACTTCCAATAATTTAGATTCATGTGGTATATGTTTATGTAGTTTTATTTTGGTGTACTCTCAAATGTCAGGCTAATTTGACATGTAAACTCATTTTCCCAGGGATATTGCTATTCTGTTCGGTAGTAGGTATTCAGAAGTGCCAAAGGTCAGGTCCTAGCTTCTGTCCCTCTAGGTACTGACCTGGAGGAGAAGAGGGGAACAGAATGATTCCCAGGGAAGAATGTCTCGGGCATCACACAATTGTCATCAGCCACTCTCATTAGTTGCCACTCCACCGGGCACCTTTTATGATCACTAGGAAGAAGAAATCTCCTTGGCTGTTATTCCAACAACTTTGAATATTTAGAACATGACTGAGTGAATACTTATAAGCAACTTGTCAGCTCACCTGTTTTAATCACCTCTTCATGTTAGCAGGGTTTTTAACTGACATCATGAAATCTCATTATAGCAAAAATGGCTGGTTTTCCCTTAATACATGGTGTTTGCTTCTCTATACTAATAATAATATTAGCTGGGCATATGGGCACCAAGTATAATAAATACATTTTACAAGCTCTGTTGCAACTAGGTGAAGGCCAAGTGACCAAATTCTGGCTACTAGGATATAAATGCAATAGTCATGTGCAACTTTTCCCAGTTTTTTTTCCTCAGTGGGAAAAGCTATGTCTTCCAGTTGACCTCTTCTCTCTTCTTAAAGGTTAAAATAAAGACTTATTGGTAAAAATTTAACAGTCATCTTGGACCATGATATGGAACTATTCTCTGAAGTTGGCAGAAAACCAAAAACAAAGTAGCCTGGATCCTTGATGACTGTATAACATATCAGACCTGGACTACTTACCTGTACAGGAGAGAGAAATGTCCAGCCTTTTAAAACTACAGTTTGCTGGCGTGTCTCTATTATAATAGCTAAACCATAGAAATTTTCCCTAAAATTTTCAGTTATCAATAATTTCTTTTCACAGAAGAGAAGACTAGACTTATCTAAAATAAGTGGAGGCACTTAGGTTAGGACCTGGAACTCCTCGGCACCAAGCCAGAGCTCTTTCCTCATGTGGCTCTTCAATGAGTTTGTTCCATGGTTTCAATTTTAGACAATGATTTTGCATTTACTCTTAAAAAACGTGGTCTCATAAAATATTTTCTTTTGTTTCTTTTTGTAAGATTGAATATATAATGTGGCTTTGCAGATGTGATGGCAAGAGATTGGCTAGCTTCCATACACATTTAAAAATCACTATTGGTGCCTCTGCTGGAGAGGTTTTAAATTCGCCATCTCTAATCTGCTTTTCTAAAAGACTGAGTGACCAGATGTCCAGAATTGGTGAAGAAGTTCTTGACCTCCAGAGTCAATATGTTTTCCCCATCATCCTGGTGGCCTAGGGATTTGAAAATCCCCATCAAGAGTTGCTAGCTGTGGATGTCTCTAGAAGTATTGATAACCAGATTCCAGGTTAGTAGACTCACTTAGTTCTAATATCTTTAAAACTCCTTTGACATTTTCATATTCATAAATTCTTTTATCAACTTTCTTTACCTCTTATGTTCTTCCATTCAAGTTTTTTCATACCTCTCTTATCTTTAACTGTATTTCTTCTACACACAGAGATATTTCTACCATGATTCCATTTTACTATTGCTTTCTCTGCTTGCCTGATGTAACCTTGCCAAGCAAGTGGGTCTGCTACTTGAAGTTTGGTCCTCGGACCACCAGCATCAGCATCATCTGTGAGTCTTTTAGCAATGCAGGGGATAAGGGAAGATGTTGGTCAAGAACAAAATTCAGTTCTGCAAGATGAATTATTTCCAGAGATTGAATGTACAGCAGTATGCCTATAGTTAGCAATACTGTATTGTATACTATACTTGTGATTTGTTAACAGGGTATATCTTAAGTGTTCTCACCATACACACACATGCACACACACACACACACACACACACACACAGAGGAAAATGGTAACTGTGCTTTATTTTAATGGTTGCAAAGGTTTTTGACTCATAACCTTGAGGCGATATGTTTGTATAATTTCCTATTTTTGTAGGAAAGAATATATTTGTTCACTTAAAGTTGTTTAAATGAACTCTTTGCCATCCAATATTGACTTTACTTGCTAATATTTTGACAATTAACTCACTTTCCATAACCTCACTGATTGAATTTTAATGAACTAGCACAAAAGGCTGCATGGACTTTTAGAATTATGAACATTGCAAAAGACATTTACCCCTGTGAAGCTTTTTTCAAGTAAAACAAATGAGTAAATAAGCAACTCTTCACAGATTAAAGCACAATGTGAAATCTTGATTTTCCTCAATAACATAAAATTCATGGTAGGGAATCAGAGAGGGGAGTGGTGATAAAGCACGTGTGGGATTCAGAAATGAGACGCTTGAGGTAGAAATTTCTGTGCAGTTTCTCACTGAAAGGAGACACAGAAGACACTGGCAGTTTCTCTGCAGACATTACTAGCCCCACAAGAAGGAGACTTTGCCCCAAAGAAGTCTCCCCAGGGCTCCCTTCATGTCCTTGTTCCGCAGGTTTTTTCAGCAGGGGAGTCACCACTGTGTACATGACAGCAGCTGCTGTGTCCTCTTCTACTGAGTTAGAGGAAGAGGACGAGGGGCACAGATAAGCCCTGATCACCGTCCCAAAGAAAAGCGCAACAACAGCAAGGTGGGACCCACAGGTAGAAAAGGCCTTGAGCCTACCCTGGGCAGAGGGGACCCTCAGGATGGCTGAAACAATGCGGATATAAGAGACTAGGATGAGCATAAAGGGGATTAAAATGACTGCTCCCCCCAAGAAGAGGAGCACAAGCTCATTGACCTGAGTGTCTGAGCAAGACACCTTCATTAGGGGTCCTAGATCACAGAAGAAATCAGGAATGATCTTCTTAGAGCAGAAGGAAAGTCGGAATATGAGGAAGGTATGGGTCATGGCAACAAGATTCGTAAGAGTCCAGCAGGCAGTAACTAGGAGGGTGCAGCGCTGGCGGCTCATAATCATGGTATAGTGGAGAGGGTGGCAGATGGCCACATAGCGGTCATAGGCCATTGTGGCCAGGAGAAAGATGTCCATGTCTCCAAAGGTCAAGAAGAAGTAGAGCTGAGTCAGGCATCCCGCATAGGAAATGGAATTGCTCTGGGTCTGAATGTTCACCAGGGCCTTGGGTACAGTGGTGGAGGTGAAAAGGATGTCTGCACAGGACAGGCTGGCAAGAAAGAAGTACATGGGCGTATGGAGACGCGTGTCAGTGCCAATGGCCAGGACAATGAGCAGGTTCCCAACCACGGTGACCACATACATCCACAGGAACAGCAGGAAGAGGACGCGCTGCTGCTCTGCCCGCTCTGAGAGTCCCCAGAGGAGAAACTCAAAGATGCCGGTTTGGTTGTCTCTTGCCATGAGCCCAGAAGTCAAAGAAAGAGACCTCAAGTGAGACCTGTTACAATTCTCTAAACATATATCACTCTAGATGATTGATGAATGTGCCATTCTCTGAACTCTAGAGAATAAGAGGAAAGAATGTATTTGTATTGATCACATATTATGTGCACTGTATATTTTTACTGAAATCTACTAAATAGAATATACTAGAAAATATGGAAGATACAACTTAAGAGAATTAAACTAGATTTCTTGGTTTATTTATCTATACTTCTTTCTGTCCCAAATTTCTTTAGTTGTAGCTTCCTTTTCTTTAGCTTTAGTCTCAGGGGAATCAAGAAGCTTTCATTCATTCATTTATTCATTTATTCCACAGATATTGAGTACCAACTTTGGACCTGGTAGAGTGCTAGGTAGGTAAGACAATGATAATCTTTAACCTCGAGAAGTTTCCATCTAATGGGATAGACACAACTACCTATCTTAAAAGCCTATAAAATTTTTATTCCGAGTTCTCCATCCATTCAGCTGCCTTGAATCACTCTCAGACCCCAGACTTTACCTGTCCTCATCTATCATGTCAATATTGTGAAAACAGTTTGATATTATCCATTCCGCCAAGAACCAACTTTATAATCAAACAGCTATTTAGTAAAGATATGTTAGATAACTAAAGTTATCTGTAATGATAGAAGAAATTGTAATCTGTAGTCTTCAAAATCTCAACACCTGATTGCATCTACACACACACACACACACACACACACACACACACACACACACACACACACTTCTGACACAAAGCAGACTGAGCTATAAAAGGAAAGGAAGGTTTTCTGGGCTATATTAGAATCTTACCAGATGGATGTGGGCAACACAGTGAGGCAAACTCTTGAAGACCAGGCATTAGAAAGCACAGGGCAGGTTCAGAGATGGAGGACAGGAGCTTTGAGCATGAGGAGGAGGAGGGATGTAGGCTGAGATAAAGCTGGAAAGGGAACTGGGAGTCAAATTTGGAAAAGTTTGTAATGGAAAGTAAAGGGTCTGGAACTTCATTCTGTGTATTATAAAGAGTCATTAAAGCTACCTGAGCAGGAAGTGATGTTAGTGTTTGAGTAGGCCCAATACATGAAAATCCTGGTCCTTTCCCATGTGTGGAACCAGACAAGAGTTAGTCACAAAGTCCATCGGTCAGATCAGAAGAGAAAATCACCTTTGTTACTGAAAAGATGAGTTTGAAAAATGTATCTTATCTGTATTCACTAAGTGATCTTTTTAATACATTTCTGAAATTAAATCTATTTTTTTTTCTTTCATGGGTTCAGCTGAACAATCATGGGCTTCTCCCCCAGGAGCAGAAACTGCCCCGCTAAAATATACAACTATTTCCTGAAAGTGATCAGATCTGATGAGAAGGGAGAAGCTGAGGCCCAAAATTCAGGATTCAGTTAGGTCACTCTGGTTCGGAATGAACAAAGCAGTGCAGAGAGCCATGGCTGTTAGCCTACAGGAAGAAGCCTTCATGTGGAAACAAACATCAAGAGTAGGAAGTATATGTTGCCCCTAGTGAGTGAGACAGTTGGATATGGATGAGTTTTCTTTTCATCTCTGATTGGTAAAATTCCACACATTCCACATAAATATCACTTATTACATAAAATTTCACTGGTTTGTCCCTGCACCAAACCTCCACAATATGTGACTACAAAATTTTTTATTTCTTTTTCTGTCAGCTTGAATTGAACATTTTTGTGCCCCTATATTGTAGCTACTGTGGGGAAGATAAAATATATCTTTATAAGACAGTGTCTTGAATACAGAAAGATTTAAAGAAATATCATAAGAAAGAAAACCCTGAAAATTCAAGCTTTTCATCATAAGAGAACTCACTAGGAAAGTTAGGGTTAGGGTACAACATATCTTTAAGAATTTTCAAAATTTAATAAACAATTAAGATTTATAAAAGAATATTACAAAGGATAAATAAAGACACTCAGTAGAAATGTCAGACAGTAAGAAAATGTGAAATAGGAAATGAGAAAACTCTAGAAAGAAATTGAAGAAAGTTATTTCTTTGACAAAAACTCTATTACGAAACTTTTAAAGAAGAATGAACAATACAGAAATTATTATAAAAAACATAAAAGAGAAATAGGAAATGTAACAGAAACAAAAATAAAAAATGAGACAAAAGAGTTAGAAAGAGATAGATATAGAAAACTAACAAAGGAGACTCAGTGTATTATAAGCAAAGTCTCTAAAGAAGAAAACTAAACGTTGGAATAGAAGAGATATTTAAGGTTACAATTTAAATAAACTTCCCTAAAATAAAAGAAGACCTTACTCTACATATTGAAAAAACATACTTAATACATGGGAAAATTGATACAAAATAATCAATTCCAAAACATTTCTTAGTAAAATTATTAAACCTTTAAGATAGGTAAAGAATCCTTTAGGCAACAAACTCTCCCTCCCCCACCCAAATGCCAAGAGAAAAATCGAGGAGTAAAAAAATCTGATTGGTATCAGTCTTGACAGCAACATTCAGTGACATATAATAATAAAAGAACACCTTAAGAAATTCAAAAATATAAAGGTAAGTCAAGGATTTTGTACCAGCTAATCTGTACTTTGGGTATGAAAGCTGCGAGCAAAAAGTTTTGAACATAAAGAAACTCCAGTAATATTTTCCCATTAGCCCTTCCTCTGAAAACTACTAGAATGTAAGCTTCAAATAATCAAGAAAGTGTTGAAGTAACCTTAGCAAAAAGACCAGTGAAAAACATTACATATATATTTACTGTGGGGCTAAAGGTGACAAAGCAGTATATAAATTAACATGCACTAATAATGTGGAAATAACTAATAATAATAATAAAAGAAGGAAGAGGAAAGTAAAAAGTACAATAAGTTTTTGATGCTCTCAGGAACAGTTAGAAGAAAGAAATATAATATTAAGCAGATAAGTCAAATAGTAAGTGCTTAAGCCTATTTAAGAGGACAAAGATAAACTAAGGAAGATAGTACTAGTGACAAAATAGTATTATTAGATAGTAAAAAAGAGGAGGGAAGAGGACAATAAATATTATAAGTCAATTTTATTGCTGTTTGTAGGATCAAAAGCTATTGTCTAAAGAAGGAGGAGACTAAGAGTATATGTTATACTAAGGTATTAACAGAATGGAAAATTTCACATGATCAGAGACGGTCCATGAAATAAATGTGCAATACTAGCTAAAATAAATAATCTTTGGAGAACACAATGTACCAAAAATAACCCTAGTAGAGATGGAGAGTCTAAGCCAACCACATGTCACAAAGGAAAAAAAGTTTTCTCTTGGAAACACTGCGGTAGAAACTCTCAAATACTCTCAAATCTCAGTGACTTACAAAAACAAAGATTTATTTCCTCATTTATATTACTTGTCAACTGCAAGTTGCATGCAGCTCTGATTAAAGCAGCCCTTATTTGAGACATGCTATTTTTAAAGAAAAGTAGAAAAGACATGTAGAGTTTATTACTCTTCTTAAAGATTTTGCTTAGAACTGGTACATATCATGTCCATTCAACTTCACTGGTAAAACAAGTAACATGGCCAACCAAACAGCAGAGGGACATATAACCTCCCACAGGGAAGCAGTGCAAGTGACATGGCAAACAATGAGATTGTTAATCTTCCTTCAGGGAAGGTAGAAAATAATTGACAACAAAAACACAGTCTAATATCAAATTAAAAAGCTTCTGCCCAACAAAAGAAACCATCAACAAAACAAAGAGGCAACCAACTGAATGAGAGAAGATATTTGCAAACAATGCCTCCAACAAAAGGCTAATATCCAAAATATAGAAAGAACTCATACAACTCAACAATAATAAGAAAAAAAATCCAATTAAAAAATGGGCAGAGGACCTGAACAGGCACTTCTTCCAAGAAGAGAAAAACAGTCAACAGACATATGAAAAGACGCTCAACTTCACCAGCTATTAGGGAAATGCAAAACAAAACCACGATGTGTTTCTCCCACAACTGTTAGAATGGCTGTCATCAACAGGACAATTAGTAACAAGTGCTGGAGAGGTTGTGGAGGAAAAGGAACCTTTATACACTGCTGGTGGGAATGTACGGAAAACAGTATGAAGTTTCCTCAAAAACTTAAAAATAGAATTACCATATGACCCAACAATCCTTCTTCTGGGTATCTACCCCCAAAATTTGAAAACATTAATCCATAAAGATATATGCATTCCGATGTTCACTGCAGCATTATTCGCAGTGGCCAAGCCATGCAAACAACCAAAATGCCCTTTGATGGATGATTGGATAAAGATGTGGTGCATATATACAATGAAATATTACTTAGTCATAAGAAAAGATGAAATACTGCCATTTGCGACAACATGGACAGATCTTGAGATTATCATGCTAACCAAAATAAGTTAGGCAGAAAAAATTTAGAACCATATGATTTCACTCATCTGTGGGATATAAAACTGAAAGCAACAAACAAACAAAGTAAACTCATGGACACAGACAACAGTATGGTGGTTACCAGAGGGGAAGGGAAGTGAGGGTAGGATGAAGAAGATAAAAGGGGTCAAATATATGGTGACAGAAAGAGACTAGATTTTGGGTGGTGAGGATACAACGCAATATACAGATGATGTATTATAGAACTGCACACCTAAATGTTAAGTTATTAACTAATGTTACTTCGATAAATTTAATTTTTAAAAGAAAGATGAGTAGAAGAAAATATAATTTTCTCCATTTGAGCAAAAACAAGCTGGAACTAGAAACAGAAAAGAATTCACAGCAGCAACAACAAAATCTAGGAAATACTTAGGAATATGTATATAGGAGTGAAAAACTTTCCAATAAATCAGTCACAGGGAAGTGATATCTTCAGGCACTAGCCCCCAGGAAAGCACTGACAGCCACTAGGATGCAGATAATGAAACTGCCTGCTAGGCCCTGTTTGATCTAAGAGTTCTCCGGAAACATTTGTCTTTGTGT